AAACTCAAGCTATATTATAAATGAGGACCTGGGATTCTGAGTAACGCGGACCTTACCAGCGATTTGGGAGGTCCCGTTTCTCGGGGGGAGAGGGCTCTCGCCCTAACTGCTCAAAGGGAAGTCTTAGCTTAGTGACAAAGTAAGTGCATGAGTGCTGAAACCAGTTTTTCCAGATTTGAGGACCAGCTGCAAATGGGACCTTGGGTTTAACTTTTCTCTCTTCTTTCTTTTCCTTTTCTTTTAGGTTAATCAGTAAAGAACGTAGGTAGAGAAGAAACAAAATCTGTAACTGGCTGTGATCAATTATGTGTAAACAGCTTGCAGTCAGATCTGCCAACTTCTCTTTCCCTTGTGTTTTTCATCCTAAAATAGGATAATAAGAGCACCGAGCTTATGGAGATACCCTCCATGGCACTAATTTATTATGTTATATCTATCATTTTTCCTACGTTCTAGGCTGCAGGACCTGGGTCTGTCTCAGTATTGTAGCTCCAGTGTTGGGCCGGTGTCAGTAAATATTTGCTGAACAAAGGAACAAATACTAACGCCAACAATTCATAGGATTGCAACAGATTTTTAAGTGTCAGACACCAAGAGCTCTTATTTTTTAATAACTCTGAATTACATCCCAAATACCATAGAAATTCTAAATTTCGCCCTGATTATCTTAATTGGACCTTGCCTCTTGCCACCTAGGCAGGGCCAGAAAACAAAGTTTATTTTTAATTTTTTTAATGTTTATTTTTGAGAAAGAGAGAGAGACCGAATGCAAGCAGAGGAGGGGCAGAGAGAGAGAGAGAGGGAGACACAGAATCTGAAACAGGCTTCAGGCTCTGAGCTGTCAGCACAGTGCCCAATGCGGCGCTCAAATCCATGAACTGGGAGATCATGACCTGAGCCGAAGTCAGATGCTCAACTGACTGAGCCACCGAGGGGCCCCTAGATTGTTGAAATTTTTAAGCACTGAACCTTAACCAGTTTCCTTTTGTAGTTATGAAAAAAGAACTTGTTCTAGGTTGCCTGGGTGGCTCAGACAGTTAAGCATCTGACTCTTGGTTTTGGCTTAGGTCATGATATCAGGGTTTGTGAGTTTGAGCCCCAAGTCCGGTTCTGTGCCGACGGCTCAGAGCCGGCTTGGAATTGTCTCCCTCTCCCTCTGCCCTTCCCCCACTCTCTGTCTCTCTTAAAAATAAACTTAAAAAAAAAGAACTTGTTCTTGAAATTTTTTTTGATGTTTATTTGTTTTGAGAGAGAGAGAGAGAGAGAGAGAGAGAGAGCATGAGCACATGAGCAGGGGAGGGGCAGAGAGAGAGGAAGACACAGAATGTGAGGCAGGCTCCAGGCTCTGAGCTGTCAGCGCAGCTGACATGGGCTCAAACTCACTAACTGTGAGATCATGACCTGAGCTGAAGTCAGATGCCCAACCAACTGAGCCACCCAAGGGCCCCTGAAGTGAAGCTGTTTTATTGTCACCAACAGCCCCGGGGAGGCCTTGCATCTGCTTTTTTCCTGCACTGAGAGAATTACCATCTCTCTCTAGGACTTGACATCTGGGGAAATCAGCCACCTGCTCCACTGACTACAAAAACATTCTTAATTAGCAAAAGGCAGTTCATCTTTGACCTGCCTCATTATGCCAGCACCTATATGTAGACATCACTCAACTGGAAGGCAAAACATGGGCTTGATCCAGTTACATGATAATACTAGCTCTCGTGTGTTGAACTCTTTAGTTCTTATGTGCAGTCTCTTATTTTAATCTTCATTCTTATAAAATAGGAATTATATATTTGTTCCTCTTTTAGAGAGGCAGAAATGAAGAAAAAAGGAAGTACCCAAGGGCTCATAAAACTTGAGAGAAGCAGAGTGGGGTCCCAGGCAGCCCAATGCCAGCGTCCAACATGGTTAAGTTATGGGTTAGACAAAACTTAATTCCAAACACTGAAAATATCATTATTCAGAAGACAGAGAGGAGAACCTGTGTAAATTTAATTGCAAGGTTCTTTAAAACATTTTCAGAAACCCAAAGGGTGGAGGGGGTTGTTCTTTTAAATATGCTTTGATTTGGATTTTTGGTTTTGGGTTTTTGGGGAGCAGTTGGTTTGATTTGGTTTGATTTTGCCTATGAGTACAAATATTTTTGTTTAATAAATAGTAATGTGGCATTTAATCTACTTAAGATGATGAACCGAGAGCTAAATTTTAGCTAACTGCTAAACTTTTACTTTTATGAATGAGATACAAGAAGGGAAAGTGACCTGATAAACACTTTGTAAAGTCTTATCTTTGAATTCTGGAAATCTGTATTATAAACATGCAGGGGAATCAGAAGTACTTCTTAAATTGAAAAGTTAATTAAGAACAAATTCTTGGGGAACCTGGGTGGCTCAGTCGGTTAAGCTTCTGACTTCGGCTCAGGTCATGATCTCGTGGTTTGTGAGTTCGAGCCCTGCCTTGGGTTCTGTGCTGACAGCTCAGAGCCTGAAGCCTGCTTCAAGTTCTGTGTCTCCCCCTCTCTGTGTCCCTCCCATGCTCATGCTCTGTCTCTCATTAATGAATAAACGTTAAAAAAAATTAACAAAAAATAACTTCAGATTTCCTCTATATTCTTTTATTACTTCCCTGTACTTGGTGACAAGACTGTATATCATACGCTCAGTAAATTCAGCTCAATTAGTGCAATTCACGTTGGTAATCAAAGTGCTTGTTGACCTATGTGCTCTGAGGATGGCTCAAAGTCTTGAGATTATGAAAGGATTTGAGGGAGGGACGACAGAGTCAGGGATCTTCGATGGTCTTCTTGACACACCCCAGGGGAAACAACACCTTGTTCCAGAACTGGCTCTCAGTTTACTGTCTCAGGACTCTTGACTAGCAGGACAGCAGTTCAACCCAATGGGTTTGACATACACAGGCAAGCCCATGGAATAACGTATAAAGCTAGAATACAGTTTACTGCTGGCATACAGTGAGGTTTGGTTATATAGCTTGACCAGTCAGCGCTTCTTTCTCTGTAAGACAAACCCACTGGGAAAGACGCCCCAAACTCCCAAGGGGTCATTTGGAGCCTTATAATGGGTCTGATGGATGAGCTTAATGAGAGTCAGGGTGAAGATGTGCTTCAGACTATCATCAAAATAAGAAAATAGGTTCTCTTCCACAAAGACAGAGAAATTGAAGCTTTGCCTTGGTGGTCTACCTCATCTAAAGATGTATTTGTATCAGTTTCCTAGGCCTGTTCTAAAGAAGTACCACACAAAGGGGAGGGGGATGGGCCACAAACAAGAGAAATGTATTGTGTCACAGTCCTGAAAACTAAAACCAAGGTGTCATGCCAACCTCTGCTTTGGCTGCTACGTGGCTGTTTTTTTCTCTTGGGTGTCTCTCTCCTCTTCTAATGAGAGACATCTCTCTCTGATATCAGTCACATTGGACTAAGTGTCATTCCACTTGGACCTCATCTTAACTTGTTACATGTGCACCAGGCCTATTTCCAAGGAAGTTCATATTCTGAAGTGCTAGCATTTAGAGGACTTCAACATTTGCGTTGGGGGACACAGTTCAACCCCTAACAGTGTTCCTGGAACTTTTCTTTAGGTTGTGTCAGTTTCTTTACGAGGAATTCACTGCCCCTTTAGACTAAGAAAACACTAGATCTGGTCTGTTTTAGCTGATAAAGCAAGTATCTGATGACTTGTTAAAAATAGAGACTTGATACACAATTCCTGCAATTTCTACTAAGATAGAGGATACTAAGTACTAGGTATCTAAAATATAATTTTTCGAGGGACTCATCAACAAACTGTGAGACAGGCGATAATTGAAAACTAGCCCTTACAATCTTAACAAGATCTTCAGCCTTTCAGGGCCATACTATCCCTCTCACACTCTCCTTTGCTCCATTTTCTCCCCACTCACTCTGATCTCCCCATCTCCAAGTATGACTATTTTTGGTAAAGATGCTATATACATTATTATTATTATTATAATTTTTACATGTAAAAAATCGAGGTATAATTACATACAATAAAGTTAAGAAAGGCATGCAAATTTGTACTTAAATAAAAGCTTCGTAAACTTTGCAGTTTGGTCTCAATTTTATTTTTCTAAATTCATTTGCTTTCCTCCCATCTACCAGGCGTATCCTTACAGAACCCGTCCTTTATTTTCAAATTCTCTCAAGTACTGTGTTCTACCCAGGGACTTTCTCCCAATAGAAATGGCCTCACTGGGCACACACTTTTAGTCTTCAAGACCCAGTTAATTCCTTGAAGCTTCCCCCCAAGACCTTTAGAGTACTGCAGTTCTTGTGTCACCTATACATGATTCTCTTTTTGTCCTGCTCAATTATTAGTTTTAAGTAGGGTGTGAGTTCCTTCTCCAAGATAGAGGCATTTCTTTGCATATCCAATGCAAGATACATAATAAGTGCTCAATAAAATTTTACTGTCAGTGACAGTTAACATGCCTATATGTACCTTCGAGTTTCCACAATGCGTTCAAACGATCTCATTTTCTCCCTACTACGACCTTATACAATAGCAATTACTGACACCCTATCATTTCTTGCTTACAGAGTGTAGAGTGGTGTTGACTCAGAGATCAATTATGTTGCCCAGAGCCAGTCAGTAGCAAACTGTGACTGGTACTTGGTCTTCTGACTCCACAGTCCTGGCTCTTGACACTACAACACGTTGAAAACCAGCGCCGACTTCGCACCACGATTTAAACTTGGAGAGGCCACTCTGGCCGCACTTCTGGATATTCGGCTCGGAGATGCGCAAAACCTCCATGCGACTTTACCGTTTGGGGCTCTTAACACTGACTGCCTGGGATCCTGGACTACAACTCCCAGAGAGCCCTGGGGCGAACCCTCGGGTGATTGGTTCAAATAGATCAGCCAATACAGCCGTGACGTGCTCGTACAGACCAATCATAGGCTGGAAGGGGCGGGACCTCCCGCGCAGAGGCTAGATTGAGCGCAGAAACTAATTGCGTTGTGAGGTGTCCCAAAGCCTAAGGGGGCTGAGAGCGTTGGTCCCGCGTCCTGGACGCCACGTTTTCCTCCTTTTTGGTTTCGGTCCGCTCCTTTCCCGCGACCCGGCCTTGGGCCGCGCGTTTCTGGCCGCCAGCCCCGCGCGGAGGACAAGCCGGGTGACCGGGAAGAAAGCACGTGCTCGAGCGTTGTAGCCGCCGAGGGTGCGTCTGTCATTCCCGCGCGGCGCCCAGGTCCTGTGGGGGCACCTCCCGCGCCGCGCGGGGTGCGCGCAAGGCCTGGGGCGCGGCGGGCTCTGGGGCCCTTGGCGTCCCCAGCGACCTGGGCCTCGGAGGCAGGCTCCCGGGCGCTGGCTGGCGTCGCTCTTGGCCGTCTCCTGTGTAGAGCGCGACTTCCCGGCTTTGCCCCTGGCCTGAGGAGGAGGAGACTCGGCGGCATGTCACCCGCGCTGCCGGAGCTGACGCCTTCCGGTAACGTTGCCACCGGGTCTCCGCGGTTCGGTTGTTTATTGACTCCTGCTGTGGGCTCCTAATCCCCGGGGTGATTCTCCTCCCCATTTGGAGACGCGCGCGCGCGCGCGGGCGGGCGGCATCTTTGAGCCTGCGGAGCAGCCCGAGGGCCCACGTTGTTCTGCTTGGTTCCTTCCGCACCTGTACCCCTCGCTCCCCAGACCATCAGCAGCCGCGAAGCACCGCCCGGTCCCCGCGTCCTGTCTCTGAAACAGGCTCTTAATATCAAAGTAACGAAACTTTTTGCAGCTTGGTGCAACGTGTTCCAGCAGGGCTTTGGAAGTTTGGCATGAGTTAACGTTCTTACGGAGTACGCCTTTATTGAGCACCTGTTGTCCTCATCCAAAGAAGTTCACGAGCTGAGAGACATAGCAAACCCAGAGAACCGTTTGAAACTGCAGTGAACGTTTCTTTTCCACAACAGGGGTAGAGCAGTAGTTCTGCGAACTCCAGTGTACACAGGATTATCACTGTGCAAAATGAGCAGGTAGAAAGGTCGTGATGGGAAGTAGTGATCGTAGCTGATGGTGAGGTTGGTGTCTCTGAGAGTAACACTGAGGAAAAAAACTAGTTTAGCTCAAGAACCGAAAATAATTTCAGCTTTATAATGAGCTCTGGATCTGTAAGGTCATCCCTGGTTAAAACTTGTGGTCAAATCTACCCATGAAAACATGTGAGGAATGAGGTAGGCAGTGTAGCAAGGAGAGAACCAGTCATAAGGACAGAACAGCAGCTGCCTGTGACAGAGTGAGGGTGTTCATCTTGGGCAGGGGGCGAATACTGCACTCCTGTCTCAGAAGGAAATTTACCAGAGGGGAGCTAGTGAGCCTCTTGACTCTAGGGTTCCAGTAGGGGTGTTGAAACCAGTAGAAATGTAACTGAGAAACGTTTTGTCACCGATGCTATCAAATAAGATGTACAGAGGCCTATATAGAGTTCTTTGAATAATGTGTCTGCTTCTTGATTTTTTTCTATTTAAAACAATTTTTTAATGTTTATATTTGAAGGAGAGACAGACAGAACATGAGCAGGGGAGGGGCAGAGAGAGGGGGAGACAGCGGATCCAAAGCAGACTCCAGGCTCTGAGCTGTCAGCACAGAGCCCGACATGGGGCTCGAACTCACAAGCCACGGAACCCTGACCTGAGCCGAAGTAGGACTCCCAACTGACCTGAACCAGCCAGGCGCCCCTCTGCTTCATGACTTCTTACCTTCTCCTTCCCATTTAATTAAAAAAGGAAATAGGTGGTTTCCCTTTTATGTAGATGTACCAACAGCAGAAGGCCTCAGCTAAATGGGGATGTGCAGAAACTCCATATTGCTGTTTTCACTGTGAGAGATGTTGGGGAGGATGTGCCCTGTTAAGAACCTGACTAGTCGGGAGTAAAATGTACAGGATGTTCTGTACACAGTGAACTGAATGCAGATAAGCACGAGCATATTTTGGTTAGTGTTCTTCGTGGAAGATCTCAATGACTGCTCTTCCTGGCAAGGTAAAGAATTCTTAAGGTGGCTTACTTTTATGAGAAGGTTCTGGAGGGCAAAGGTGATTAGAAGCCAGTGAAAGATAATCCTTTACTGGAGAATATAAGAACAGTGAACACTTAAACCCACAGGTCTGGGAGGAAGACCCCTTGGGGTTCTGTTCAGAATGGCTGTCTGCATTCCAGCAAATAAGGGTTTACATTTTCTCTGAGTTTATCCAGTGTTCTAATTATTGCTCAACCACTGAGTGTAAATAACTATCATCTTAAAAAAAATTTTTTTTTAAATGTTTGTTTACTTTTGAGAGAGAGAGAGACAGGGAGCGAGCAGGGGAGGGGCAGAGAGGGACAGAGACACAGAATCTGAAGCAGCCTCCAGGCTCTGTACTATCGGCACAGAGCCAGCCAGATGCTGGGCTTGAACCCATGAGTTGTGAGATCAGGACCTGAGCTGAAGTTGGACACGCAACTGACTGAGCCACCCAGGCACCCCAAGTATCATCTTGTTTTTTTTTTATAAGCACAATTTAATATTTTAAATGTTTATTATTATTTTTTTGGCTTTTGTCTTCTGTTTTATTGGCAATATTGATCATAGTTTTTTTTTTTTTTTTTTTTTTTAAATTTTTTTTTTTTTTTTTTTTTTTTTTTTTACAAATAGTTCATTGTCAAGTTAGTTTCCATATAACACCCAGTGCTCATCCCCACAAGTGCCCTCCTCCATGCCCATCACCCCCCCCCCACACACACACCCATCAGTCCTCAGTTTGTTCTCAGCATTCAAGAGTCTCTCATGGTTTGCCTCTCTCCCTCTCCCCCACTATTTACCCCCTTCTTCTCCCCCACGGTCCTCCGTTAAGTTCCTCCTAATCCTCCTATACGTGCAAACATATGGTATTTGTCCTTCTCAGCCTGACTTATTTCACTCAGAGTAACACCCTCAAGGTCCATCCATGTTGCTACACATGGCCAGATTTCATTCTTTCTCATTGCCATGTAGTATTCCATTGTATAGATAAACCACATCTTTCTTGATCCATTCATCCATTGATGGACACTTAGGCTCTTTCCGTGTTTTGGCTATGAACATTGGGGTACATGTGCCCCTATGCATCAGCACTCCTGTATCCCTTGGGTAAATTCCTAGCAGTGCTATTGCTGGGTCATAGGGGAGTTCTATTGTTAATTTCCTCAGGAACCTCCACACTGCACCAGTGTACATTCTCACCAACAGTGTAGGAGGGTGCCTGTTTCTCCACATCCTCGCCAGCATTAAGAGTCCTCTGATTTGCTCATTTTAGCCACTCTGACTGGCATGAGGTGGTATCTCAGTGTGGTTTTGATTTGTATTAAATGTTTATTTTTGAAGAAGAGAGAGACAGAGCATGAGCCAGGGAGGTGCAGAGACAGAGAGAGACGCAAAATACGAAGCAGACTCCAGGCCCTGAGCTGTCAGCACTGAGCCCAATGTGGGGCTTGAACTAGCGAACTGAAAGATCATGGACTGAGCCACCCAGGTGCCCCTCATCTTGTTTCAATTCACATCTAATCACTAATGAGTTTGAGCATCTCTTCAATAGGTGTTGAGTATTATTTATCCTCCCCGTGACTTGACTATTCACATCTTTGTAAGAGTTCCTTGTATATGATAGATGTTAGTCCCTTTCAGTTTTAGACACTGCAGAATCTTCCTCCAGTTTGTAATCAGTTTATTTTTGTCTATGGTGACTTTCATTTAATAAGAATCCTTAGTTTTTATGGAATCAAATTCATCGTTTTTTTTTAATATTATAGGTTAGGCTTTTGAGTCTTAAGTCTTTCCCTATTCTAAGTAATGAAGATGTCCTATATTTTATTTTTCCTTATGGGAATGTAGTTTTATGGTATAATATTTTAGTTTATATGGTATATAAACTCTACTTTTTCAAAGTTAATTCAGCTTTTTTCTGGGCTTTTATTTTCCACATAAATTATAGAATGTGTCAAAGTTTTCATAAAAAATCGGATGTTTTGTTTAGAGTTAAAAAAACTTTGATCTCTTGCGTATATGATGAATCCTTTAACAAGATCTCAGAATTTGTATATGTGGGGGCGAAGTTGTTTTATAGTAAATAGTAAACTGTCTTAAAGACTGAAAACAGCTTGTATTTCTGGATTGAAAAGTGAATACAGTAGGGACCTGGGGAAAAATGGTTAGACTTTTTATGAAAATGGGAGGTCTAGAGGCATCCTCTGCCATCAGATCTGCAGTGAGTAGAGAAGTGCTCTCTCCCTAGGTAGAGAGAGAAGGAAAATGGAGTAAGCCAAGCTATAAGAGGATTTTGAGGTAGAGGCGGGTGAATTTTGGAGCTCCAACAGAAGACTTCTTTGGACAGGATTAGGTAGGATCCCCTACAGAGGGAAAAGGACTTGAAGCTAAAAGAAGGTTTGGGACAGCAGATAATGGAATGTGTTGAGGGTAGCCAGGAAAAGATGAACCAAGGAAGAGGCTCAACATTAGGAATTTTCAGGGACTCCAATAAGTGTAGTTCTGTGGCTTTCCAGTAATTCTTAAAAACCTCCTCCCCCTGTCTTTTTCACCTTTCAGTTTTGAAAGTCAGATTTTCACTTTCTTTAAACCAGGTGTGAAGAAAACCCTGCAGAATGAGATCGAAGCCATTCTACGGGAGCGGATTATGGTGCTGGATGGAGGGATGGGCACCATGATCCAGCAGCATAAGCTAAGTGAAGAAGACTTCCGAGGTCACGAATTTAAAGATCACGCCAGGCCACTAAAAGGCAACAATGACATTTTAAGTGTAACTCAACCCAATGTCATTTACCAAATCCATAAGGTAAAGTATCCCCAAGGGTCATCCATGTTCATTTCCTTATTCTGTAAGTTGTTTCGTGTACTGAGGGCGGACTGTCCCCAGTGCCTGGAGGGTACAGAAGAAAGAGGTGATTTGTTCACAAAGAAGCCTTATTGGACACCAAATAAAGGTCATGCACTGTGATGAGCATTCAGGATAAGGAGTTCAGAAAGGTGGTTTTTCTGCCTTCAAGGCATTTAAAGTCCAGTAAGATACCATAAAGTTCTCAGACAAATTGGGGTTTTCACATACACTTTCCTTGTCACATGACAGCCCTGACAAAATAAAATCAAAGGTAGTTATTCTCATTTTGTAGATTTGGAAGTTGAGCCTCACAGAGGTTAAGGAACTTATCTGACATTAGGGAGCCTCCCTGACTTGAAATCCCATCCCCTTTCATTCTGTTTTTCTGTGTCCGATAAAATTGGTTAGTCAACATAAAGAGATCAGGAGGAGGTAACTGGTTACAGTATATTTTTAAAATTTAAAAATAAACACAATGAAATTGTTGTATAGGTTATCATAGGAATTTCACAAAACTGTGACTAAAAGAGGTATTAACGTGATTTTAGTTAATCTGTTTTAATTAACTTTTCCTGGTCTGGATTCAGTTAGAAGGAAGAAGCATATTTACCAGCTAAGTGAGAGCATTTTAGTTTCTAGAGAAAATAAGCAGCATTGTTATAGGTGTTTCAGGCTCTTATTTAAAAAAAATTCAGCTAAACAAATCACTTCATGATTAAGTATTCCACTGAGTATGGAAGGGATCATTTTATTATGTGGTCAAGACTTCGTTCTATGTAAGATGGAGAAGGGCATTCATTTGAAGAAAATGCCTTTCCTTTGCTCATAATGGGAATTCTAGTGTAGTGTAGGTGGGTTTCCCATTTTTAGGGGTACGTTTACTAGCTAGAGTTCTACGAATGCAGAGAACATACCATGTGGATGAAGAAAGGAAACAGGTTATTTTCACACTTTTTCTAGTGGAGTTAGTGACCACAGATAAGATCCCCCAATGGTTAATTTTTACGGAATGTCCAGGTTCTGGCGTAGTGTAGTTATCTGGCAGTAAGTTTCTGTGATTATAATGCAAGTGCCTGACATTAAGCTTTTGGTTGCCAGTATATCCATTTCAAAGACATGAATCTCGTATTAAACATGACCCAGCTACTGACTGAACACTTAGATAAGAAACCAGGCTGTTCCCACCCATGAAGTTCTGCTTTTAGAGTCTTGGGTGATCCAGACAACCAGCTATTTGAGTGACCCCATTTTTCTCTTTCCTTGCCTTGATTCCTACTCTCATGCCTTAAATTCAGTAATAAAGAGTGACACTGCCACCCCATCCTTATACCCCAGAAGAAGCAGAACCCCATGCCTGTGCTCACCCTTCCATGTGCCCCTCAGCCCTCGCAGTGTGGCCCTGGGCATGCCGGTACCCTCCAGGACTTGTGAGTAATATACCTTTTTCTCCCCAAAGTGCCCCGTGGTTGTTGCTGAGATGTATTTTGCAGTTATAAGAACCACAAGGGCTGGTGTGGCCACAACTTTGGTTCTACCCGGAGAATGTCTGTGGGAGCAGGCCACGAGGACTGCCCTGTGAGTGCCTTAGGCATCACTGTCACAAAACAGAATTCAGCACCTCTGTTGCCTCTACAAATGCTCTCCTTAAAGTCCTTTAATCTTGGCAGCTTTCCCCACGAGGAAAGGGAGGAGCAGGGATGTTGCCCCTGATCGCATGATTTCTGCGTAGGGCCCTTGAGTGGGATTCTGAGCCAGGAAAAAAGACATAGAAAGAGGTTGAAGAGCTAGAAGAAACACTTTTTAAACTGTATACTATAAACATTTTCAAATTGACACAAAGTGGGAGAAAGTTGTGATTTTAGAAAAAATTTCCCTGTAATTGTAAAGATAATACGTGTTTATTGCTTAAAAAAAGGAAGTAACTAGGTAAATGGAAAACCATAAAAGAGAAAATCAAAACCAGAACCTATCAATACCAATACATAACTTATTCACATATTTTAATTTATATTTTAATCTAGTTTTTTATATTGAAATTTAGAAAATTGGGATTCTATTGGGATTACTTTATACCGTATTATAATTTGATTTTTTTATCTGTATACATGAGCATTAAATATTCTAAAACATGTTTTAATAACTTCATAATGTACTCTGTGTATATATTGTTACTTAATGAATTTATTCCTAGGCATTAATGTTTCCAATTTTTCTTGCTCTTTTTTGAAAAATTAAGTTTAATTTGCTCTTATTAAACAAAACCCATAGGTAAGAATAAATTTGCTTTTGACCACCACTCCAAATTTGTTTTTTCTCTTGATCTAACCACTTACATTAGTTGGTGTGTGTCTTTCCAGATCAGTTTGTTATGCGTTTATATGTGTATATATGCATATGTATGTGTATGTGGATACACATGTATCTGTAGAAAATTATTACCATTTGTGTACTTGCATGTTTTAAACTTTGTGGTCATACTTTACATATCAATCAATTTTGGTTTCTAGTCAACGATACTTTTGGAGATTTTTCGACGTCAGCATATGTAAATACACACGGTATTTTTTAGCTGCCACAAAGCATGTTATCAGCTGGATCAATTCTAGCTTATTTCCCAGTTGGTGGATATCTTGGATGTTTGTAACTTGTAAATAGGTAAATCTTGGTTTTCATTTTCCAGCTCTTCTGCAAACAGTACTGGAAAATCTAGGGAGCTGAGAGATTCCAGAGTGTTCATCAGATTGAGGTTAGAAGGTGTTGTCCAAAGAGTGAAGTGTGGAAGGTGGATTTCGAACAGGGAGCACAGGAAGGTGTGGAGATCCTCAGGCTCCTGCAAGAGTGCAGCTCTGGCCTAGAGGGACCGGGATGTCAGGGCCGAGACAGTTCGGCAGAACTGGGTGCTCACAATGCAGTTGTCAGTGGGGGTGATTGTGCCGAGGCTGGAGAGTGCTGTTCGGGCCAGAACTTGATGCTTGTGTTATTATACAGCCACTGTGTGGAGTTGGGTTCTAGTACTTTCCAGTGAGGAGACTGAAACTCAGAGTCTAAGGAACTTGATTTAGTTCATATAGCTTAGCATGTGAACTCTGTCAATTCAGACTCTGAGTTTGTTTATTTAGACCACATTCCTTTCTCTGAAATGTTTACATTTTTTTGCACCTCTCACCCCTAGTGTCATGCTGTATGCTTAGTAAGTGGTGTTGGGGGTGTCTGGTGGTGGTGCCAATGAAAAATTGTATTTGTTGTTGGGGGACAGGCGTTCTAAAACTCACAGCACTGACCTTACTGTCTCCTGTTACAGGACTACTTGCTGGCTGGAGCAGATATCATTGAAACAAATACTTTCAGCAGCACTAATATTGCCCAAGCTGATTATGGCCTCGAACACTTGGTAAGAATTCCATTGTGCCTCAAGTCTAAGACGTTCCTGAGCATTTGCTGCCTTGGTGGTAGTTGCTGGTGAGAAAACCACCAGAAGCTGCAGAGTCCAGCCAGTGCCTAGATACCTACTTTTCATGGTCAGGCTTGCAAAGCACTTTGAATCTCTTCTGCTTCTGAACATGGCAGACCATTCATTTTGTAACTGGTTTCTCTTATGGGCACATAATCAAATAAAAATGATACTTATTATTCAGTGGCGGCTGATCAAGGCATTATGATTGGCTGTGTGTGCAGTTTGGGAAGAGCTTTTTATGTCCTAGGTGGCAGATTTGATTTTCTTTTTTTTTCTTCTTTAATTGTCGGATGACATACGTAGCCTAAAATTGATGATCTTAGCCATTTCTGAGTGTACAATTCAGTGACATTAAGTACGTTCATGGTGTGCGATCATCACACTGTCCATCTCAGGAACTCTTGTCATCTTGTAGAACTGAGATTCTGTTCTCATTAAACAGAAACTCCCTGTTCTCCCGCCACCCGCCTCCACCCCAGAAACCACCACTGTCTTTCTTTCTCTACGAATTCGACTCCTCTGGGTACATCATATACAGTGTTTATTCTTTTACAACTGGCTTATTTGCATAATGTTTTCCAAGTTCACTCATGCTGTAGGCTGTGTTAGAATTTCCTTCCTTTCTAAGGCCAAATCATGCTCCATTATATATATTTATACATACTACATTTTGTTTTCTTGTTCATTTGTTGGGGACACTTGGGTTGAATCCACCTTTTGGTTACTGCGAACAGTGCTGCTACTTAGTACAGATGATCTTGCATCTTTGTTTCCTGTGACTAAGTACACAGAGGGGGAATTGCTGCTTCATATGGTAATTCATTTTTTGGGAAACCACCATACTGTTTCCCACAGTGGCTGCACCGTTTTGTATTCCCACCAACAGCGCACGAGGGTTCCAATTTTCTACGGCTGTGTTGACTTGTTAGCTTCTGTTTTTTGGGTTTTGTTTTGTGAAAGTACCCATCCTAGTGGGTGTGGGGTAGAGATCGGGTTTCTTTTTGATCAACATGATGCCCCTTTTTCAAATTTTGTAAAATGTGGATGATGGGAATACATAGTAGATGCTGCCGTTCCCTTTTTTGTGTGGATTTTTCCCGACACATGCCTCTGTTTTCATGCAGGTAGTTCTGATGCTCCAATACTGATTTCTCTCATGTTGGGGTTTTGTGAGATCATGTGTCTTTTCAGTTATCCAGGGAAAATGATTAGTTTCATGTGATTTTAGGGCAGGAGTTGGCAAACTTTCTGTAAAGGGCCAGTTAAATAAATTTTGTAGGCTTTGTTGGCCATATACAGCAACTACTCAACTCTGCTGTTATAATGCCAAAGCAGCAATAGACAATATGCAAATGAATGAGCTTGCCTGTATTCTAGTAACATTTTATTTATAAAACAGGCCCAGGCTAGATTTGCCCCGGGGGCTTTGCCACCCCCTATTTTAGGATATTCTGGTTTCTGAATTGCTAACTATGAGGATACATGGCACATAGAATCTTAGAAGGGATCCTGAAGACCACAAGTCTAGTACCTTCTAACCTGGTCTGTGAAAGGGTTTGAAGAGGCCTACAAACCTCTTTAAATTGCCCGCATTACTTTGAGTGTTTGTACATTTTATTTCCCAGTGAGAGGATTTATGGCCCTTTATGAAATTCTAAAGGTCAGTGATCTGCAGAAAGTTGGGAGCCACTGCGTGCAGCCACTGTCCAGTGAAGGAAGTCAAGGCTGGAGACATTGCAAAGGGGACTGGCCACACAGGCCCTTGGCAGAGCTGGTCCTCCAGCCCAGGTCGCCTGTTTCTGAAGCTTGTGTTTTTCCCATTACCATGCCTTTCTCTAATTCACAGAGTATTTAACTATATCAGCTTACTCTTTGACATACCACATGTCCAGGGATTGCCTGTTTATTATACTGCTCATGGTTTAGGGGAAGAAGCTAAAAGCAGGTCTCAAAAACTCTCCTCTTTCCTGCTGTCTTCACGGCTGGGGCAGCTGATAGGCCTTCTTGGCTAAGATTTCATTCAAACCTTCTGTTAATTCCCTCTGTACTTCCTTAATGAATAAAACTGGGTTTTATAAGGGCAGGATCCTTACTTGTATGGAGGAAGAGAAGAGCCAGCTAATGTCTGCGCTTGGTGTTCTAGGCCTACCGGATGAACAAGTGCTCTGCGGCAGTGGCCCGGAAAGCCGCCGAGGAGGTCTCTGTTCAGACAGGTAAGGAACATTGTCCTCTCCTGTTCACAGAGATGGTTCCTCTGAGATTCTGAGCTACAGTGTGCTGTCCTTATGGCCCTTTTCCCTCCTGTGACTGTCAGCCTGCTGGCCACGCCACAGACACTGCTTTGTCTTTGTGTGTAAGTTACTCTCTGCCCTTCCCTAATCAGGTGCTTAGCATCTCTGAACTTATTCCGTGCCTGGGGGCTCAGGCTTGATGCTGTGTTTACTGTACTGGGGCTCTAGCTTACTTTTGTAGCCAGGACCGCAGCAGCTTCCTTGCATATTTGCAACAAAAATTATTTTTCTCCCTTTGGAAGCACATCATTAGGTAATTAAGGTGATAGCCAGCTGGTTATCTTGGTTAACATTAAGGTACTTGCTCCTATCCCTTTAAAGCTACCTCATCCCCATGATTGGCTTATTTAGGTAAAGAGATACTGCCTTTTGAGCATTTTCCGCTTCCTACCACTGATGTCCTTGAAGGCTCTGTGCTGCACACCCAGGAGTGTGGCATTAGATTTAGTCTTGCTGGGACTTGAAAAGTGGCTCCCTGAAATAACCAACCTCCTGGCTGGCTGCCATTCACATGACTTGGGCGCCAGCTGGTAGGGAGGCTTTGAGGGAGGGAAAGGAATAGAAGAAATATATGGAGCCACTAAAGATTTTGGAAATGTAAGATTTTTGCCAACAGGAGAAAATATAAAGCAGAATTGTTAGGAAGTTAGACACAGCATACTAATGAAGACTGAAGCAGTTCATGGGAGCTCTGCTTCTGAGAGATAATGCTTAAGTCCAGGGACATGCAGAGACTGTCAGCCCAGCAGGGCCGCAGGTCAGAGAATATTGACCCCCCTGAAATGAGGAAAGAGGAGGACATTTTTCTTATGGCCACATTATTGGTCAGCTTTGGGGAAGGTAACCTGTTCAAAGGCTGGGTTATCAACTAGTCAGTGGTCTTCAGTTAAATGACCTAGCATAACCCAGGTTACTGAGTGGTTACTGTCACCAAAGGCAAGGGGCAGGGCACCCCCCCTTCCTCCCCCTTAGCTTCTGTCGTGACATGTAAATGAGCATAACATTGGAGGCTCTTTTAGAAGCACCTGGAATCTAGCTTGGAGGAAAGGTTATTAAAGGATTATTTTAAAAAAGTAAGATTTGATCTCTTTCATACTTTAATTTAGGCTTTATAATTGTTAATCCTGATTAAATATCCTCCCACAGTGAAAGGCCTGTAACACAATACTGGAGAGCATTTCAAGTTGAATGCTTCCGTGAGGGGCTCTCATAGATTCTGTGTCAAGTTCAGGACCTTCAAGATTTCTTAAGAATAAGGGGAGATAATCTACCGAAACATGGCTGTGGTGATACAAAAGGGGTTACTCACTGAAACGCTTTGAAGCCAGATATGCGAGAATTCAGAGTCTTTTGGGCTGGCTTGGTGATAATATGTGCACATTCACCTACATTTCATCATTTCCCCAGTGGGGTCCTGGATAACCAAACACGTGTGTGCAGTAAAATCTATGAATTATCTCACTAAGTGCAGTAAAGACTATAAATAGCCTCTTGTGGTTCAGGAGAGTTCATGTCACGTTTTGTTGTCAAATGAATTAAGAACAGCATTTGTGCTTTTGTGTTGCAGAGTTGTGGATAAAGGGTTAGAGACCTGTGTTCGAGGGAAAATCTTAGAGCCTGTTGATTCACAACAAAAAGTTTAACCTATTAGAGATTTTACACTTGTTTTTCTTTTCCCAAAGGAATTAAGAGGTTTGTGGCAGGAGCTCTGGGTCCAACTAATAAGACCCTCTCGGTGTCCCCATCAGTGGAAAGACCAGATTACAGGAACATTAGTGAGTATTTCTCGTATATAATCTTTGACCTTCTGCAAGTATCCCTGTGTTTCAGTGATCCTAAAATCTGTAAATTGGGACCAGTAACAGGATCTTCCTCAGGATTATTGTGACTTAATTGACATAAAGGACTTAGAACAGTCCCTGGAGTGTAGTTAACCCCTAAATAATAAAGTTAATTCTTATTATTATGAGTATCATCATCATCATTATCATTATTTTGAGCCTGCTTTCAAATGTACATGGTGTCTTGGTGTTTCTTTATCTGCTGAGGAAATAAAACCTATTGGAAAAAAAAAGCCTGAAACTTAGAAGTTGGGTAAATATGGACATCAGACCTTGGTCTCTTATAGAATAACCCACTAAATCCCCATTTCCTGTCAGAAAGCTGTCTAAACCATATAAACATACTAGCACTGTTGACATTATAAACTGGCATATATAAACACACTTATATTGAGATTTTATGAAAAATCTGTAAATCTAGGTCAATTTCTTAAACATCAAGACAATAAAAAACAAAAAGAATTAAACTTAGCTGAATAATGGTGATACTCTGTATGGTAAAGAATTTTGTGTAGATGACAAGTTCAGGCAAGTATGGTTTGTAGGTTTTTGGTTCTACACTAGTTAGTTGTATCATTAGAAAAGATGAATACATGTCCTGGCCACTGAGAGGATGTTGATGACTGAAGTCCTCGGTGTGGTTTATTTTCTGTAGCATTTGACGAGCTTGTTGAAGCATACAAAGAGCAGGCCCAAGGGCTCCTGGATGGCGGGGTTGATATCCTACTCATTGAAACTATTTTTGATACCGCCAATGCCAAGGTGAGTTAAGGGAGATGGAAGAGACAGTGGGGTGGGGGCTGTGATGAGTCCCCCGATACGGTGAGAAGACCAACACAGCCTTTGTCAAAGTTAAATAAAAGTCTTCTGTTCCATTCTGTTCTTGAACATTTCTAATTGAGGCCAGTGGAATGAAAAAAACTTCAAAAGGTTATCTTTTTAAGTTTCAAAAAAATTTTTTTTTTAAATTATGAAAGTAAATATTTACAGGTACAGCTACTCGGTGCATGTATGCAGATGTAGTAAATACATATACATGGCTCTAAATGTGAAAGATACATAAAAGTATGGAGTGAAAAGTCAATATCCTTCTTTCTCCTATTCCCTGGGATCCAGGTCTCCCTGGACAGCCACTGTACCAGTGTGGGGGCGTGGTAGATGTGCTGTGCAGGTACAGGAGAGTGTGACGTGACATTGTTTAGATTCTTAGGGACTGGTTTCCCCCATGATGTGTCTGGAATTTTTATTTTTAACTTTTTTAATGTTTATTTTTTAAAGAGGCGGGGAAGGGCAGAGAGAGACAGGGAGACACAGAATCCAAAGCAGGCTCCAGGCTCTGAGCTGTCAGCACAGAGCCCGACAGAGGGCTTGAACCCACAGACTGTGAGATCGTGACCTGAGCTGAAGTTGGAAGCTTAACTGACTGAGCCACCCAGATGCCCTTTTTTTTTTTTTTAAATAATGTTTTTTGAGATTTAGTTATTTAAGAGAGAAAGAGAGTGAAAGAGCACGAGCTCGAGAACGCATGAGCAGGGGAGGGTCAGAGCGAGAGGGAATCCCAGGCAGGCTCCATACTAGGTGTGGATCTCACCACTGAGAGAGGGGCTTGATCTCACCACTGAGAGAGGTCATGACCTAAGCCAAAAACAAGAGTCATTGAGATGCTGGCTCAGTCCCCCAGACATCCCTGGAATTTATTTTGGGGTGAGGAATATGGTAGAGATCTAACTAGTACTTTTTTTCTCTAAGGTGTACCTACTTATCTTAACATCGTGTATTAAGTATCCTGTTATTTCCCAGTAGTAGGAATCGTGTGGAATGTCACCCAGAGCATCCTAAATTCGAAAGTCCGTCTGGGTAGAATCTATTCCAGTAATCTGTCTGATATCACACTCCCATCCTGCTATTTTCCATAGCATTATAATTAAAATAGCCTGAGTAACTGGTAGGCTTTCATTAACCTCTTTCCCCCTCTGTTTTTCCGTCAGAATTTTCTTGGCTGTTCTTACATGTATATTTTCCATGAGGTCTTTAGGATCAACTTGTCTAGTTCTTTTTTTTTTTTTTTAAATTTTTTTTAATGTTTTATTTATTTTTGAGAGAGAGATAGAGAGTGTGAGCAGGGGAGGGTCAGTAAGAGAGGGAGATACAGAATCGGAAGACAGGCTCCAGGCTCTGAGCTGGCTGTCAGCACAGAGCCCGACACAGGGCTCAAACCCACGAACTGTAACATCATGACCTGAGCTGAAGTCGGATGCTTAGCTGACTGAGCCACCCAGGCGCCTCTCAACTTGTCAGTTCTTAAAAAAGAAAAAAAAAAATTCTCATATCATCGATTTAATATCCTTCTATGCAAAAGAACCCCATCATCACAATGAAGATCTACGTTAAGTACACGTTGCATTCTGATTTCCAAAAATTATGAAAATGTGCACCTCTTAGAATCAAGAAATGTAATGAAAAAAGGAGAAGATAAATTCCCTGGAACTTAATAAAACATGGGTGTGTACACAACAACTTGGGATTTGTACTTTACAGCCCATTTTGAGCTCAGTCTTTTTTGCAGTGATGCACACTGTTAGTTTCTGTACCTATCATGGATATATGGTGGAAGGTGAAGGCATTCTTATTCATTTATTTATTTATTAAAATTTTTTTTAATGTTTATTTTTGAGAGAGAGAGAGAGAGAGAACAAGTGGGGGAGGGGCAGAGAGAGACAGAGACACGGAATCTGAAGCAGTCTCCAGGCTTCGCACAGTCAGCACGGAGCCAGACTTGGGCTCGAATTCACAAGCCATGAGATCATGACCTGAGCCGAAGTTGGACGCTTAACTGGCTGAGCCAATCAGGCACCCCCATTCTTCTTTAGTTTTAATTTTTACTGGTAGAAGGAAGAAAGAGTGTAGCTCTTAAGCTCCTCCTCAGAGGAAATACTCGTTTATAAGTAAACTCTGAGCCGACATTTGTTTTGTTTTAATGTGCACGGTGTTATACTTGAGAAAGGCGTGTTGGGATTGTACCTTGCAGGGCGGACATGCTTCTTCCCCAGAGAGTGTGATGTTTATCTTACCTAGTGGAGTATTGAAAAAGGGAGGCTTCTGATGAGCCAGTTAGACTGACCAGGGATGCAGTCTCTCAGAAATAAAGATGTTCTTTTTACCCCCTACAGGCAGCCTTGTTTGCACTGCAGCTACTTTTTGAAGAGGAGTATCCCCCCCGGCCTATCTTTGTAAGTTCTAAAATCTGCATGATGTATTGTGCCTTTTATTACTACTGTCATCTTGAGGGTAGGGTTTTTGTTTTCCTTGCCAAGGACAACTATCTTTAGTGTCGTTTAGCCTCCTCTGTTCACCTTCCTCCTATCACCGGCCCTAGACCAGTAACAGGCCACACTCTGCAAATGCCAAGAAAATGAACTAGACGTGGTTGGCAGAAGGCAGGCCATTCCAAGGAAGCGTGGCCAAATTGGTCCCCTGAGGTCCAAGGCTTAGGGACTCCTTTTGACAAGGGCCCCGGAGGGGTGGACTTGCATGCTGACTGATGTGGCCGGTACTGATGACACGAGGCTGCATGTACGTGGACCCACAGGAGAGGCCTAAGACTGATGGTGGGAAAAGAATAGAATGAAATCAAGGGGTGTTGGATGAACCAGCTGTGTATCAGCCAGGACAACCTGAGGTCTCTGGGCAAGCCTTCTGCTCTGAGACCGGGTGTATGAACTGAGAAGTTTTCTTGGTTATTTCTTTTGCCTCAGTGACTTTACTTGGTTTTTGTTTTTATGGCTTACCAGCTCCTCCCCGCAATCACTTTGCCCACGTCCTTTCTGACCACAAGTGCTTCCTTTTGTTAGAGCTCCACAGTTCCCTTCTTTGTGAAAGAACAGAGTCAGCATGCTCATTTTATTTCACATTTGTGACCATATTCTTAATTTGAGTCTCTGTCTTTGATGGTGTTTACTTTGTTAATTAAGATTTCAGGGACAATTATCGATAAAAGTGGGCGAACTCTTTCTGGACAGACAGGAGAGGCATTTGTCATCAGTGTGTCTCATGCAGACCCACTCTGGTAAGTGATCCTTCTTTCCTTGACCCCATTCCTTTTAGGGGGATCTTTTTGGACGGCTACGAAATGGGGCCAGGGAGGGGATTTGTCCTTTGTATTTCCACTGAACCGCCTGCATGGGATGTCGGCTCTCTGGGAATTGTTTCCAGACTTTGCCTAAGCGTGTCAGATGACCGCTGTCTGAGTGGGCCAGTTTAAGGGGCTGGGCTTGTACCTCCTGGATCAGGCAGCTGGTTGCCTGTCTCTCTCTCTGTAAGCGTGCCCCTCACAGTTTCAGGCTGTGCTTGGTGCAGTCCTAATTCTGCAAAACTATTGCCAGCGCTTACGTTTGTAGACCAGTGCTTTGCAAAGTGTTTTCACCCCCTGCTTAGGGAGCAAACAGAAGCAGTTCAGCGAGGAATCAGATGGGAATTCTCAAACTCAAATTTTTATCTTTAAATAAAGATTAACCTGGCTTAAAATATCTCCCAATTTGTCATATCAAAATGTTTTAAATAACATACTACGAGTGAAATTGAACCTCCTAGAATATATACTGTTTTCACCTGTGTCCCTCTCTCTCTCTCTCTCTCTCTCTCTCTCTCCCTCTCTCCCTCTCTCCCTCTCTCTCTCTCCCCCCCCCCCCCCCCCGCCTCATTACACACACACACAGTCCCACTCTGCCAGCTCCTTGTTAGCCTTTACGAATCATCTCCAGAGTCCTCTCTAGGGAACTTTGCCTCTCTGATTAGCTCCGGTTGATGTTCTCTGAGCACTTTGTTTACTTTTATTATAGTCTCTGCCATAAAAATAATAGTAATAGACATTTATTGAGAGTATGCTGTTTTAAGTGCTTTCTGTGAGTTATTTCTTTTAATTCTAGCAACACCACGTTGAGTTGAGGACACTGCTGTTTGTGTCCTCATTTTAATGAGAAGGGCACGGAGACTCATAGGCTGTAAGCCAGTAGGTGATCTAGGGATCAGAACAGTTCTTAGCGACTGTGCTCTTCCACATTTCATCATTTATTTTATTGTTGTTTTATTCATGTTTTAATGTTTCTCATTTCTTCTTTTTTCTTTTATAGTTTATTGTCAAGTTGGTTTCCATACAACACCCAGTGCTCATCCCAGCAAGTGCCCTCTTCCATGCCCATCACCTCTTTTCCCCTCTCTCCCACCCCCATAAACCCTCGGTTTGTTCTCAGTATGAGTTTCTTAAGGTTTGCCTTCCTCCCTCTTCTTAACTAGTTTTTTCCACTTCCCATTCCCCATAGTCCTCTGTTAAGATTCTCCTGTTTCACATATGAGTGCAAACATATGGTATCTGTCCTTCTCTGCCTGACTTATTTCGCTCAGCATAACACCCTCGAGTTCCATCCACGTTGCTACACAAGGCCAGATTTCATTCTTTCTCATTGCCATGTAGTATTCCATTGTATAGATAAACCACACCTTCTTGATCCATTCATCAGTTGATGGCCATGTAGGCACTTTCCATGATTTGGCTAGTGTTGAAAGTGCTGCTGTGAACATTAGGGTACATGTGTCCCTATGCATCAGCATTCCTGTGTCCCTTGGGTAAATTCCTAGCAGTGCTGTTGCTGGGTCATAGGAGAGTTCTATTGTTATTTTTTGAGGAACCTCCACACTGTTTTCCAGGGGGCTGCACCAGTTTACATTCCCACCAACAGTGTAGGAGGGTGCCTGTTTCTCCACATCCTCACCAGCATCTAGAGTTCTCTGATTTGCTCATTTTAGCCACTCTGACTGGCGTGAGGTGGTATCTCAGTGTGGTTTTGATTTGTATTTCCCTGATGAGGAGGGATGCTGAGCATCGTTTCATGTGTCTGTTGGCCATCTGGATGTCCTCTTTGGA